ATATATATATATATATATATATATATAATTGAAATAAAAAAAGATACAAAAAGTTGTATGAAAGGGCCCAATAGATGATGCCCTACTTATACGATACATGGTACAAAGATATCCCAACAAAAAGATACAAAAGATTCGAATAAAAAGAAAACATGCAAAAACAAGTGTTTATGGACGAGGCAGTTTAGACCTGCCTCTTCCTCTGGTTCTTGGAGCGGATCTAAATAGTGGCATATGTATACCCTACATGTGAATAGTACAATTAAGAGATAATTATTCCTCTCCAAATCAGTAGCTCTCTACAAAGATCAGGCAAAATCTGCAAATGGATACAAAAGCGAAAGAAGATAAATACTATACAGACTACTTGCAAACACCCACCGGCTTAATCTCTGACATACTAATTGTGGAAATGCATGCTACACGTGTTATTTGCAAATTTGAGGCACAATTTCCCATAAAAATATCATGTTTCAGAACCAAAAATTTGTTGGCTGCCCTCAACATCAAGAGAACAAATCTTAATCCTAACTTTCAATATGACCGTTCAATAAAGTACAACAAAAAAACACACAAGGACAAGTTCGGTATTCACCTTGAAGAGAAAAGCCAAACATGATTTGTTGGTAAGCGCCACTTGCGGCAAAATGCGATAATTTCTGGGGTGGAGAAAAATTTTGGTTTGCCATGTCCCAATTCGGTTACAGCTGTCACAACAACTACGCAAAAGAAGGAACAGTAATTAATTGTTCAAGTTCAAAAGACAAGCAATCATAAGGATTTCAAAGAATTCAAAAAATCAAAGGAGATCTGAAATTCATAATTTTCCATAAATGAATATTTAAATTACATCAGCATTTATGCTATAAAGGTAGGAAAACTAAATTCACTGAATTCATGAACATAAGAACAAGTAATTCAAATCCTAATCAGAATAATTTTTTTTCTTTTAAAAAATAACAAGAAAAATTAAAAGTTTCAAAAAAGCGATAGCAGAAATAAACTAAAATAAAAATAAAACTGGAAGGAAGAATATGACAGCATGATAGAAGGCACAGCCATTCAATATTTATAAAAATTTGGCTAGTTAACATAAGTCACATAGACTGAAAAAATAATCAAAAAGAAAGCATAAAATCAAACAAAGAGATAGAACCAATAAAAGGTTAATGCACGTCAAACTAATGTTAGACAGCTGAAAAATAGTTCGTATGTTTCCATCTATTGCATATATACTTAGCAATACTATTGGACAAAAGGTAAAAATTCTTTGAACTATAACAGTTAATTTACATTAAGACACTAAGGCCTAAGTTCGTAGAATGATGCAAGGGTGCTAAGCCAAGCCTTGGGCAGTGGGCAGATGTGCAGTAACGCTCCGCGATCACAGGAAGTTTGAACCGAGCAGATTCCATACCAATACAGCCGCAAGGGGGAGTGAGGGAGGGGGTATTTCTTGCATTTTTCTTTTTTACTTATTTACTATTTATTTATTTCTAAATAGATTTCTTTTCTATTATTAGGCTTTCTTATAATATGTATTTGATTTTTTTAAGACATTAGCTTTATTTTGAATACTTACGATATTGTAATATCTATTCCCAACTTTAACAAGTGTTGTATCATCTTCTATTTGCAGGTGGTGTGTTTATAGTTTGTGCAGAAACAGGTGGTGGACCTGCTTATTATCATTTTGGAGTTGTCTTCGACGTTTTTAAAGTGGGACAGCCGGCTAATAATGCCTATCCTTGTTCAAATGTTGTTGAACTAGTATAATATGATTCCCTAGCTATTCCACAACCCCACCCCAGCTAAATCTGCTTTCTAAACATCTACTGTGAGCCCCAGAACAATGTCATGCAGCTTCAATGTTAGTAAGTGCTAATGCGGATTTCAAGGGTACATTGACCGAGGTTTATACATATTCCTAAACACCTTCACCCTCCCGTCGTGTCGCTGCTGCCCAAGATAGCAGGGAACAACCTCTTCCAGCTGTCCCGTCGCTATCCACCCCAACTCCTAATTGTCATCACCCGGGACAGCCTCCATAATTGTTGTCCCAGCATTTATGCACCTCCCCCTCGCTACCACCAGCATTCTCTTACTGCCTCCACACCCGCCAGCCATCTCGATCCACCTAACCGACCTCTACCACCCTTTGGATACACTTTAGTGGTGTTTGTTGGTGTTGTTTTATGTTAGTTATCATTTATTTCTTGTTTAAAGAGTCGTTGTAAACCTATTTGAATTGAGCAATAATGTTTATATTTCTACTATCGTTTGCGTTAACTCCGGTATCATTTGGTATCAGAGCCCGCCTAACCCTACACCTATCTTAGGGCTTCCTAGCATCCACCATAAACCAAAAGTTTTCTTTCATACCACTAAACACCATTTTTTATTCCACAAATACCAAAACCCAATCATGCCACCTAAGAGATACAAGTCTGAGCCTACCCGGAAAGAGATACATCGAGATATCCGTTAACTTCAACGGAGTTTTGTGTACATTGAAGATGACACCCCGGAGGGATTTACCCTCAACGGAGACAGAGAAAGCCGAAGAGGAAAACATACCAAAATTTCAACCGATTTCATAGGGAGGATGTTAATGATGAAGATGAAAAAGCGCAGCGTTTTGGAATTCAGTGTCAAAGGAGACCTAGAGAGGGGATATTAGTTGAAGAACACAGGCCACAGAATCAAGGTGGAACTACCAGAATTTGAGGGATGAATGGATCTAGAAGAATTTATTGATTGGCTGCAATATGTAGAACGGATCTTTGGGTAGAAAGATGTGTCAGAGGATAGGAAGATCAAATTAACTGCTATCAAGTTAAAGAAGAGCACCTCCTAATTGTGGGAGAGCTTACAGAGGCAGAGGAAAAGAAAAGGCAACGATAAGATTATCAAATGGAAGAAGATAAAGAAATTCATGCAGGAGAAGCATATTCTGCCTCATTACTGTCAGGACATGTTTCTGAAACTCCATCTACAACTGCGAGACCTTTCCATGGAGGAATTCACAGCTCAGTTCGACCACTTATGGATGAAATGCGAGCTGACCGAGCCGGAGGAAGACATTGTAGCTCGATATCTTGGGGGCTTGAAGCCCGCTATTAGCAATGTGATACAGCTACAGCATTATTGGTCACTTGCAAATGTCTAGACTTTAGCACTGAATTCACAAGCAAATGATAATATAGTTTACATAAAATTGTAAGACGCAGGTGACACGAAGCCTAAATTTATATGCAAATACTATGTATGAATGACCAAATGATAATATAGTTTACTACTTTATAACATTGTAAACTTTCACTTTAATTTTATCATTTTTCATTTCAATTTAAGCAATTACCCATCTTAACCTATTTAAGAGTCGTATCAGAATTACTATCATGACCGAAAATAACCTCAAAATTGTACCCATATGTACCCTCAAAAAATTGCACCCGAAGATACACCGATACTAATTTTTATTGTGAACGGGTACATCGCATCCCCTATCAGTGTCATATGGAGATAAGCCTGAATGGCTTAAACATTTACATTTCACTTCTTCTAATTACTTTCATTTAAGGTTAATGAAACCACCATTCCCTTTTTCATTCAAACTTCATTTATTTCAAAAATTCTTTAGTTTACAACATGTTTCCGATGATAAAAACTTTCTATGAAGCAATAATGTAGTTCTTTACTAAATAACATCTTAATTTAATAGACATAAGTAAATAATTACCCGTCCTTATTGAATGCTTTCCCTTGAATCTCTTTTCTTATTCTTCAATTGACACCCTTTGGCCTTTAAATCAACACACCTAACTAAAACTCATAATTTTCTTAAAGTAATATTTAATAATTGACGGTAACTTAAATATGTAAGAATTTTATGATTAAAAATACTAACCCCTTTTATCCTTAAGATTCTTTGTCATCCTCAAACCCCAATGAATTATCAGCCTTTTCACTTTCTAATTGAATAAAATTTAATAACATTAATTTAAAGAATTATATCATTTGTTCTAATAATAACATAAACATTAACATTTGCCTTATAAGTTTCAAGGATCGATATCCTCCCTCACTCATACGTTTCACCAATTTTTTCTCTTTCGAAGCCGAAATCACTATTTATTTGAGTCTTGATTTCAATATATAATTCCATTAAATAAGTTTTAATTAAACACATTTCAATATAACTATTATATATATATATATATATATATATATTAAAGCCCAAGGGCTAATTTTATTGAAATTGAAAAGATACATAGATTGTATGAGAGGATCCAAAAAAATGTGTCATACCCATACGATACATCAGATACTAGCATCCTAAAAAGATGAAACAAAGATAAAACACAAAAAAAAACAAAGCTTGCAGGAAATAAGCTGCTAGGCACGAGCCAGCTTGGTCTTACCTCTGCCTCTGGTTCTAAGACCGGAGACAGCTAACAAATTGCTGAGTGTCGTTCCATTACCCGAAGTTACTAGAGTATCATCCATTAAGTTCCCAAGCCGGGGTGTGCCTCCATTCTTCTTTTTCTTTCTAGATGTGTAAACGAGGACTGGCTCATCTGATCGGTGTGGTCAACGGATTGTTGGGCATGTAGGAGAGAATGAGCCCCCAGCTCCTGACTAGCAGTAACAATATTCTGATTCTGGAGAGATGGTAAGCATGTCTATTCAACAATTGAAGCATCTTGGGGATGTCGAGCTTCAATACTATCCTGATTATCAGACCCAAGTAAACCATCTGCCAATATATCAGTTGGAAGAACAGAGAGAGTATTGTCTCCAATAGTGGGAGATGGAGGTGACATTGTGTCAACCGGTGTTTCAATAGTTTGTGGAATGTACTCATGAGCGGAGGAGGGGGGTATGAGGTGGGGCAGATCCATAAGCGTTTTTACTTGAAGGTTTTAAATTTGGATGCAACTGGTTAAATTTGGATGCAACTGGTAACATTGAGAATGAGAATGTCCAAACATACGGCAGTGAGTACAATAAAGTGGTATTTGTTCAAGTTTTGTTTGTTGCCAAAATCTCTGATGCTGTGTGTCAATCCATATTTCTCCCGGCAAAGGCAAAGTAATATCC